TTGAATAAGGGTAGTTTTACAGTTTTTTCGATGGGAGTTTACAATAAATGTCGCTGTTTCGGTTAAGTGCGAAAATCAATTGGCCAACTTTAAGCTCGATTATCTCGATTACTCTAAATGGTTCATTTTGTTTGACGTTGTCTCCCGTCTATGCAAAATGAAGTACAAAATTTGTACTTCATTTTGCATAGACGGGGCTTCTTAGAAGAATCTCCTGCTTAGAGTTCACATGCAGTGAATATATTGCCCAATCGAAAATTTTGACAAAACTATCATGTATGTTTTGTATTTAGCGTCATTTATTAAAATAAATTACGGGTGTTCCCTGTTTGTATTGCGTGTTGTGGCGCTCCTTGTGGTGTTACAGAAGTCCCCCTCAATAAGCGTCTTATACATTTGCATAGGGGAATCCAAGCGATCTGGTGATTTGTCAATTGCACATCTTATCACTGCTATCCGATATAAAGGGGTACACGAAGTGCAAACTATTAATAAGCTTACTCAAAGGACTTCTGTAATTGCTTTGATAAGGGTTGTCGTTGTGCTGTAGTTATGTTGCAGGAACGTGAAAAGGGCGCTGACAAAATTCAAAGAGAATGCCATTCAAAACAAATCGGAGCTTCGTCAAATCAACGAACTGGCGAACGAAGTCTTGCTCAAAACATGTCTCTCGCCCAAGGCCTACACAGTGTGCATTACATTTACATTTCCACACGAAAAGTCTGCGGGAGACTGGGTCGAGAACCCGCCGAATGTTCGCAATTATTCGGCGGGCGAAATCTCGAGTGTACGAGCTCGGCGCCTTATCATATACTGAAGAAAAAACACTGCCAAACTACTGTGGTGAAGCGCTACTGTAAAGGTATGGCACCCACTCTCACAATGATACTATATGCTGTGATACAACTAAACATACAGCTAGCTATGTATTATACTTTGTAAGCATAGATTTAAGTATTTCTAAAGCGCAAGTGAGGAAGAAACATTACGTCCTCAACATTACCTAGAGCAGCACCACATAACTTCTCGAACACAGCCACCACGTAAACGCCGCAGCTAAAACTGTCTTTCTGCACGTCAATATCTGACATGAACGGCCTGTACCGGAATCGGCTATGTGTCGGAGGCGTTAAAGGTGAACTATCTTCTTCGCCGCTAGCCTCACGCCTTCAAAGTAGCTGGATTCTAAATGGTCGTACAGAAGCATCCTACCACACGTCACAACAACCATAAACCCGCCCCAGTGATTGCCTTCGATGTTTACGAAGCCACGAGCTTCTCAGTGACCACACGCAACCTCATCCTCAGGACTTCATCATGATTCATCGTGGAAGTAGCATCGTTTTCCTTCATTAAAAGTTTAGTACTGCCGGATCCAGACAAAAAGGTTATCCTTTTCGCTGTTGAGAAAAGTCATGATCGTATTAATAGAGACGCCACCAGGGATTGAAAATAAAATATATAATTGTATTGGTTTTCAGAAAAAATATAATCCGTCATTGCCGTATCGACCAAAACAATAATAAGTACTGCAATTTTTGTATGCAATTGATAGGGTTAGAGCGGTGGTGTGGTTTGGGAATGACCCTACCAAACCACCGCACAGGGCTCGAGTCCCACACCTGTACGAGAAACTGGTGGTTGTCACCGGGACTTTTGTCCTGGCATAGGGGTAATCTAACAAACAAAAAATGAGCCGGCGACAGCAAGACAGTCCACCAGCGGATATGGGTTTTACGCGTAAAAGTTAATAACCTCTTATTTATTATATAGAGAAATTATATAGAGAACAAGAGGGTTCTTAACTATGTCTACTCTGCATCTCCCCCGTCGTCATCGGCCGATTCATTGTATCCTAGCAAAGAGGTGATGTCCCAGAGCTCGCGGTTGGCACGTAGAAACACCAACATCTCAAAGGTTGCTGGTAGCATGCTGGTACGCAAAGGGTTGAACACCAATTGCACTGCGAGAAGAGGCGTTCGCACTTATTGCTGGTAGGTGGAATCATTCGCAGCAGGTCAATGTACTTGGTCGCAGTCGCCAAGCGAGGTCGCTTTGCATGGCGCAGAGTTTCCGTCGCAAAGTCCACCTTCTTTGGAGTTTCATGCGCGGGGTCAGTTGGACCAGCAAATTGGGCAACCGCCTCTTCTTCGTCTGATATCAGCTATCGATCCGATAGCAGCTTGACAACGGCACTTTCAAACGCGGGGGAGTGAACGATTTGAGCCGATGGACTAAGGTGGTGTGCTGTCGCTGGATACTTCGCAATAACCGCGTCGAAAAGGAGTCGTACGTCAGCAAGATTGCCTTCTCGGACTGCAGCCTGACAAAGACACTGTCTAACGCTTTGAGCTTAGTGACCAGCTGCACAATCTTGCGGTGAGTACTAGGCCGCGGAAGGAGGTCCTCTACAGCAGCAATCATTTTGATGGCATCGCGGATCTTGACGTAGCGGGCCTGCATCTGGTACGTCGATACCCAGCGTGTAGCATTCGCCTTCAGTGGCTTGTACTTCGTGAACTGGGCGAGCTTCGCTGCGTTATTGGTATACCGCAGCTGAATGCACAGTGTCTGTACTTGATCGATCAGCGACTTGAAGTCTTCAAGGTATCTGCAGACGGCGAGGTTGAAACGATGGCTGGCACACCCGACGAGAGGCACGCCCATTCGCGTAGCTACGGCTTGGTTTGTAGAGCAGTTGTCAGCGACCAGGAATAGGACCATGCTGGGCTCCTTCTCGTACAGGTCTAGTACCGCATCAATCATACCGATGTGAGCATCTGCAGTCTGGCCGTTCTCGGCGGGGGACATCGCAAGCAAGACTTCGTGGAGGGCTCCTTCCTTCGTGAACACGGCGTAGATTCCTGGAGACACGTCGATTCTATAACGAACAAGGACACGATGCAACAGAAGTTGGCCAAGCACTTGCTCCATGTCAAGCAAAGAAGCAGATGCTGGAAGCGCGCATCAGCGCGCTGGAGGTTGAAGTTATGAACGGTCTCCTTTAGCACCGTCGTCGTTTCGGTCGCCGATTACCGAAACTCTGAATGTGATCGACGACGACTTCTCGAAGGAAGCCCTTGTGCATCGTTTCGCAGGTATGGATCAGCTTCGGAGTTGTCGGGCATGTTGTACGCGCTCTCTGGCAAGCTATGGTATTCCATGGACACCGTCCGAGTTCTCGTCGTAGTTTCTTGATTCTTAATTCGTTCATCAATGCAAAGGTTGTGCGATTTCATGCACGTTTTAATTATGTTTCTAACATTCACGAAATCCACCACTAATGCTCGCTGAAAAATCTGCCACTTGTTGACTAACAAGCCAAATGCCATTTTAATTCGAATGCGCAATTGGCTCAGGTAGAAGTTATAGTCCGAGTGTTTTGTGCTTTTTAACACCAGCTTGTTGAATGGAAGGAGCAATGAGTCGGACAGCGGGTACGCGTTATCACCGGCAGCTTCGTAATTTCTTTGCTAAGCTTCCATTTCTTGAAAGCAATCGAATCTCCAACCTTTCCCGGAGAATTGAAGCAGTATCCAGGGAGCCGACAAAACGCGTCGCAATTCCTTGCACATTTACTCCGTGCATTTGATAATGCCCCCAAAAAAATGCAGCAACATCCGGCACCTCTTTTGAGCTTGGTGCACGTATCTGACACAGCCATCCGTCAATACAGCCTACACAGCCTGTGAGGACTCCATCTTTACTGATACTTGTAAAGCCGTCAGCAAGCTCGAGCATGCGCTCGTTCGACTCCGTTGGGGAATGTATACGCAGTTCAGGACAGTCACACACTGCGTTCATTACTGCGTGCATGCAGCTGTATATACCAGACACGGGCATTCCAGCCAAACCGCGAGCCGTATGATAGCTGCTTCCAGCAAGCCAAGCGATTGTCATTTGAAGCATATTCTCCGGAGTTATTGGAGCGGTTCCAGTACGACAATTGGACTTGATATCATCTCGGAGCAGTGTCGGTCTAATCAGCAATAACAATCGCTCAAAAGATGAAACACCCATCCGATAGCATCTTTTAAATTTCCCTCTAGTATCAGCGTCTGTTTTTGCACGTTCCAGTCTAAACGTCGATGGTATATGGGCGGTGCACGCTCAACTGGAGATTCTGCGCAGCTCCCACCACGGTGATGAGTAGAAGGAGACTAAGAGATTGAGCTTCGCGCGTACTTGTCATCCAGCTCGGCAACAGCATTGCTCGTAGCAAAATGACTCTGCGACCCCACGATCCTGCCGACCGCGGAATCCGTGGCTCGGATCGCACCGATTGTGTAAGCTGGAAAAGCCGTAACCTTTTAGTAAATATGACCAATCAGAGTAGTTTTTAATGAGCGGCCCTTAGTTATCTCTGGGAACGGACTCGGTGGCCCTGACTTATACCATACACGACAGGATATCAGGTTTCTCAAGGTTCATTTAGGAGAGGTTTTACTATCCATCCCGTGTACTGACCTTTTGCTGAAAACTTGCTTTCTGTAATACTTTCGAAGAGGTCGTTAAATTGTACTTTTATGATGATTTGAATACACTTCAAGTATATTAAATAACCTTCGATGACCACATTGATGCCCCCTACCTCCGATCCATCTCGTCGTTCGACATTCACACAAAATATTTTCTCAGCGAAGCGCACCAGTAAAGCCGACCTTTCCAGCCATGCGGACCTACTCCATCCTGCGTCTTTTCTTTTTCGCTCTGCTCCTTTCCCCCAACACTGCCTCAGACGCTGCTGTCAAGCTTCGAGCTTCCCACGCCCATGGGGGAACGATTCCTTCTTCTAGCTGCAACGGTATCTCCACACGAAGAGAGAGGTGCCCTGGATATAATCAGCAAGCTCACCAACTCTGCAACAAAGGTTGTACGAAGCTCCGTGTTGCACACCCAATCTAGTGAACTGTGGGTTTCCACCTCGGTTTCCCTTGCACTTAGAGCCGGAGCTGGGGGTGTCCACCCAAATGTGTCTACAGCCCAGTGGCTAGGAGACAATGGGTGGAAATCTGGTGGTGTGTCTGACGTCTGTCGGCTGACGATATCACAGACACTCGGACAGCCAGTGCCCTTGTGTATTATACTAGGATTTAGTAGGGCCTACTGCATGTTTCCTTTCATGTGGATGCATGTCCATTTCTGACTGCTGCCTGTCGCTCTGATCAAGTGGCAGCAGCATTGAGGAGGAACGGGCTGGCTAGCGCCAGACCCATGATCCTCCTCACTCTTCGATTTGCTAGGAACTAGCTAAATACATTCGGCCTATACTTCAGTGCGGGTTGGCCCCCGCCTTGCTGGTGTTCCTACTTCGCTTCAAATCCCGCGCTACACTACAAAGAACTCTTTAGTGATTTCCGCTGTTCGCGCACCATCGACTCGCGTCCAGTGACGTTGAAGCCATCGACTACTGTTCGTCTACAACTTTGATTGACAGCAAGTACTACTTTCAAGACCAAGCGCGATTACTTCGAGATGATACGCGCCGGTGGTAATGGTGAACCACCAGCCGGTACTGTACCGGTATTCCTGCCAGTACTACCGCCCAAGATCAAGTCTATCTCGCACGAGGCACTTGTACGCTGGAAGAAGGAGCGACGAGACTACGAGACGAAACTTCACAACAGATGCAGAGTGACTGGCGAAGACTATGATGCGGTGGTAGAGCAGATCAAGGTTTCGTTCGACGCTGATCTCCTGGACGTCTTCTGCGAGTTCCAGTTGAATGTGGAGACTGTGGACGTGACTGAAGGGATGTTGATCGCCGAGATCGAACACATCGTGGGGAGCGTCAAGAGCAAGGCGTAACCCGATATCAAGGAGCTCTTCAAGAGAGAGCTGAAGATGAATTTGGCGGAAAGCGACGTGACAGCTCGCGTCATGGACTACTTCAGATGCTTTAAGACGAAAGCGCCGATAATGGCTTGACTGAGTGCTTCAGCCTTGAACGTGGGACACGAGAGAAATGCAAACGACTGATCTCTGCGTTGAAGCCACCCATGCTGAAGCAAGAAGTGAAACAGTCCATCCGCTATAATCATGCTGCTGCGACGAGAGACCCCAAGGTCCTGTTCCGACTTATCGTCGAAAAAGCGACAGAGTTGGAAAGGCAGTACCTCCGTTTGAGGACGCAGAAGCGTGAGGCTCTAGAGCGAGAGGAAAAGCCCAAGGCCAAACATGCCTTTCAAGCAAAAGGACAAGCAGAACCGACCTGCGGAACATGCGAAGGTCAAGCTTAACTGGAAGGACAACAAGAATCAAGACACAAACCCCAAGTTTTCGTCAAGACCGTTGCCGGGGCCATGCCCTAAGTGTGAAAAGATGCACTGGCTACGCTAGTGTCCGGATGCGACTGGGGATGAGAAAACAGAGCTGTTCAAGCGCTTTCGCAACGCAAGAAATGCCAAGGAGGCTAGGACGAAGTGGCTTGGAGAAGTTTTGCCGACCACAGACCGTACTGTCTTGCTAAATGGTGTACTGGAGCTTCCGTACTGCCCAGATAGTGGTTCGGACCATACAGTTATTGGCCAATCGCACTGGAAGCAATTGCTGGCAGTGGACCCTGAAGTCCAAATCAAACAGCTTGAAGTTCCAGTACAGAGTCAAACTTTTAAGGACAGGAAGGTGACGACAGTACAGAAGGCTATGCTGCAAGTGCGAATTCACACGGCAGCTGGACCTGTGGAGCCGATGAATCTGGTGGAGGTTCACATTGTGGATTGTGACGACGACGAGTTTATCATTGGAAATGATCTACTCACGCTGTTGGGAATTGATGTCGATCGTCAGCTGGAACAATTGGCGAGCCGTGGTGATGATGAGTAAGCCGGTGATCCAATCCATTTGGAAGCTGATGAGATGTCCGCACAGGTTCATGAACCTTCCCTTAGTGATGATGTTGACATTATTGCTGCAGTGGAGAAATTGGTCGACCGTGCAGTGGATTGGGGTTTCCGGTTGGATCACGTGGAGCAATTACGCACAATTGTACACGCGTACGACGTGTGGCGACTGGATTTACGCGCGGATCCCCCGGCCTATGTGCCGCCGATGGAAGTGAAATTGCAGGATGGGGCTCGACCTACTAAGTGTAAGCCCCGCAAATATCCTCCTCACATCCGCATGTTTCTTCGAGAGTTTAACAGCCGTCTTGTTGAACTAGAGTTGGTGTATGAAAACCCAAAGGGTCGTTGGTCGAGCCCCGTGCTCCCAGTGAAGAAGTCCTCAGATCTTTTGAACTTAAGACAGACGGTGGACTACAGACTTACGAACGCGCAGACCAGTGTAATGGCAGCCGCTATGCCTATTCTTTCGTTAGTGGTGGAAAAGGCAAGTGGAATGAGACACTTTGGATTATTTGATTTCCTTAAAGGATTCTGGCAATTGCCTTTGGCTGAGTTCTGTCAAGAGTGGTTCTCGTATATGACAGACGAGAAAATCTTCACACCTCGACGGGTTCCCCAAGGTTCAAGTTATGCTGCCATCCACTTTCAAAAGATTATGGAGGAGTGTTTCAGTAGCTTGCTGTACAAACACCTCCTCATCTGGATTGATGACCTCCTGCTGTACGCAAACGACATTGACGCCTACCCAGACAAAATCGCTGAGTTTTTTTTCTCTTCTCAATAAGTTTGGCCTCAAGTTGAGTGCCAAGAGGACAAGCTTATACCAAACAGAGGTTAAGTGGTGCGGTAAACTCATCAATGGCGAAGGTATCCGCCATGACCCCGAGAGAATCGAGACGCTACGCTCGATGCCATACCCTACTACTGCTGGTGAGCTCCAGCAGTTTGTGTGTGCAATAAACTGGATGCGAGGGAGTATCGTGGACTTCGCCCGTCAAGTCCAGCCTCTCCAGAGCCGATTAGATGCAGCGCTCGCTGACACAAAGCGGACGAAAAGAGTTGCAGTTGGGATCAAAGTTCAGTTAACTACCGAAGAGCGTTTGGCATTTGACCGAGTCAAGGACATGTTGGCTGATGCGGCCACCTTGGCGTATACGGACGCCAACGCGACGACTTGCTTGTTCACCGACCCCAGCGACATGGGCTGGGCGGTAATCGTGACACAAGTAGTCGACTTTGATCCGAAGACTCCTGTGACACAACAACAACACAGGTTACTTACCTGTATGAGTGGAACTTTCACTGATAGCCAGCTCAACTGGACCGTCATAGAGAAGGAAGCTTTACCTATTGTCCTTGCCTGCGAAAAGCTGGACTATCTTCTTCTCCGTCCCAAGGCTTTCAGGATGTTCTGCGATCGCCGGAACTTAGTACACGTTTTCGCACCTGATGAGAGTGTCAAGAAACACGTGAAAGGAAAGTTGTTACGTTGGTCCATGAAACTTATGGGATTCCAATACATCGTGGAGCACGTACCTGGACCCGAGAATGTCTGGGCTGACACGGTTTCTCGGTGTGCCGGCAACCACACACCGAGGGCGAGCTTGAAGCGGCTGAAAACGATCCGGCGCAGTCAACCTTGCCGACGTACTGAACTCAGACCGCTTGACGACGATAAGTTTGTGTGGCCTTCCTCGTGGAGACGCAGTCCAAATTCCCGCCACCGGTTTGTGCGGTGCACTCGAAAATTGGCGTTCTTACGTTGAATGACTGTATTTGGATTCCTGCAGAAGCTGTTGACCTAATTCGGAGGCTGTGCATTGTGGCACATTGCGGAAGCCAAGGACATCGTGGCCAGCAAGCAATGGTGTCGCACCTCCAAAGTCTTTTCTCGATCGACAACCTACGAAGGATTGTGGCTACATTTGTGAATGACTGTTTGCTCTGTTTGCATTCCCGAGGGGGGAAAATTATTCCAAGACCGTGGGGAGAACTGATAAAGTGCAACGAGCGAAACAAGGTCCTTCATTTTGATTACCTATATCTCGGACCGAGCTACGGAACGAGTTGCTACATTCTGGCACTTAAAGACCACGCAACCCACTACTGCGAGCTAGTGGTGGCGGACTCAGCGGAAAGTCCTGTTATAGTGGAAGCTTTACTAGCCTGGCACTGTCGCTATGGAATACCGCCGTCCTGGGTATCGGATCAAGGGACACATTTCAAGAACGAAGTGGTGGCTGAGCTGAGTCGTAGACTCCGCACGCAGCAGACGTTTACGCCGGCATACAGTCCATGGGTGAATGGTTCAATCGAGCGAATTAACCGTGACATTCTCCAGGTCATTCGTGCGATGACGCTGGAATATCGGATTAGTCACAAAGATTGGGTATATTTGGTGCCATTAGTGCAGTCAAACCTGAACAACACTGCTGTGCCTTCCTTAGGCAGCCATTCGCCATTGGAGTTGTTCACGGGATTGGAAAACCCGACGCCGCTGAGCGAGTTCTACCTGCCTGACAGACGCCGCCTGCAAACAATCCCTGCTAGTGCTGAGGTAGACGGCTACCTGGAGAACTTGAGGGAGAGCATAAGGTCAATGCACTGTGCGGTGAAGGACAGACGAGAGAAACAAAGGCTCCTGAATAAGAAACGTGAACGTGGTGAGAACGTGGTAAACTTCACCATCGGCGATTACGTGCTAAGGTCCCGAGTGGACGAGAAGCACGGCAACAAGTTACGGGTGATATGGGTTGGTCCGTACAAAGTAACGAGAGCCGACGCCCATTCATTTCGTGTCAAGCACCTCGTGACTGGTGATGAACAAGATGTTCATGCATCAAGGTTAAAGTTCTACTCCGACGATAGCCTGGAGGTGACGGACGAGCTCTTGGAGCATGTGTCCTCACAAGGTATCGTGTTGGCAGTGGAATGACTAACGGGACACAAGTGGAATAGTGACATCAATGACTTTGAAATCCTGATCAGCTGGAAAGGGCTACAGCCTATCGAGGATTCGTATGAACCCATGGGTGATTTGGTCAAGGAGATCCGAGTATTGGTTGGGAACTATGTGTCAAGTACCGATGACCAGCAGCTTCGTGAGCACTGGCAACGGTTTCAAGGAGGACGTGAAGAGGGTCTAGTGCACGAGGATCGCCAGTTAATACTGGAAGTGCGGCCGAACAGGGACTCCGAAACAACACCGTCGACTTGTGACACGCGGGGGCCTCAAGGTGAAGCCCAGCAGGCACGTCCTCGTCTCACTGGACAGAAGCGACGACTTAGAACCGCTAGCAGACGCAAGCGGAGAAGTAATCGAGCGACTGAGGAAGAACCTCAGGCCGACTCACAACAGACATCGGGGCAGACTGCGGACGGGGATGGTGAGCTGCACCTGGGTGCCGAGGTCCACGAGCCTCCACCTCCTCGAGGTCGCCGAGGGACGCCTTCACGTATTCAGCCACGCCGTTCAAGTCGCCGTAGGGACCGGGGCCAGGGCTGTTAGCTGTTCAGGTGAACACTACTGTGACGGAGATCGGTAAGACGAGGACAGGTGAAACCGAGCTTCGGGGGCTGTGTAGTGAAGTGTGGGTTTCCACCTCGGTTTCCCTTGCACTTAGAGCCGGAGCTGGGGGTGTCCACCCAAATGTGTCTACAGCCCAGTGGCTTGAAGACAATGGGTGGAAATCTGGTGGTGTGTCTGACGCCTGTCGGCTGACGATATCACAGACACTCGGATAGCCAGTGTCCTTGTGTATTATACTAGGATTTAGTAGGGCCTACTGCATGTTTCCTTTCATGTGGATGCATGTCCATTTCTGACTGCTGCCTGTCGCTCTGATCAAGTGGCAGCAGCATTGAGGAGGAATGGGCTGGCTAGCGCCAGACCCATGATCCTCCTCACTCTTCGATTTGCTAGGAGCTAGCTAAATACATTCGGCCTATACTCCAGTGCGGGTT